TTTTTTATCTGGGCATGACTGGGGAGAAAGCTCCCGCCTAGTTCCCGCCAAATTAAAAATTGCCAAAAATCATGAGGGTGAGTTTGTTCCCAGCTCCCACGGAATCAAGAAACAACGCGGTCGTCTTGTGGAAAAGGTTGCAAGCGAACTTGGATAACGACAAGAGGAGATTCCATTCCCTGTTTTTTAATTGCTTTGCAATTTGGAACGCACTATTCTACTGTCTTCGAAAAAGAGCTGTCCCGAGGTTAGTAATGAGTAGATTGAGAAATGTCTTATGGGATCTACCATAAACTAGTTTGTTGAACTTATGTTTGGCATTTTGTTCCCGAATTTTGTTCCATGTATTTTTGGCCAAAAAAGCAAAACCCGCTCCGTAAGGGACACTATCCACGGTGCCCTCCAGATTCCAAGTGACGGGAATGATAGAATGGGGGCAAACGTCAAAACCCGAAAAAATCCCCAGGGCATCCAAAAACCCCCCCCAAAATCCTTGGATCAAAAATTAACCCCCAAAAAATCCCAGGCCAAATTTTTGATCCATAAATAAATAAAATTTCCAGAAAGTATCAAATGATGTAAAATGTTGTTCTTTATTTGGTTGTACTTCATTTGCAGAACTCTGTGGCTGGGATACGCAGGCACTATCATAAATCTTCAGATTCTAAAGACCCCCAAAAATTCCTACTTAAATCAAGCCACCTAAAAAAATACCTGCCAAATTTTCCTACCGAAAAATTCCTGGAATCAAAAATCTCAAACCCAAAAAAATTCTTCGAAGATCTCCGTCACTTGAAATCCGGAGTACCCCCCTTTCTCCCTCACTTATGCATCAGTTTATTCCAGTCGTGCCCATGTGCCTCCGCCCCTGGTCCCCCGTACATTAGCATTTTTTGTCTTGGATTGAAAATTCTATGGGGCGTGGATACTTCAGCTGCCAAATGTATGCCTTGTGTTAGGGATGAAAAAGAGAGCGAATGCTTCGTTCCCAATCGACACTGCAGCAGTTTTCACTCCTCTCACAGTGTAGAGTAGTGCTACTTTAAGAGTTTTAATGTGTGATTTATTTAGAATGTCTTCCTTTCTGTCTTTGGATTTATTGTTTGTAATGACTGTAATAGCACTATCCATATTATAATTATTATAAATAAAACTTCATGCACAATGTTTGGCACCACCTCAAGAATCTTAATTATATAATAATAAATCATAGTAGTATTACAGAATCATCACCACAAAATTATATTCAAATCCTTGATAAACAGAAATTTGATTAAATAACCAAAAAAAAATGTTGATTCACGCTGATAGCTTCTTTAATTTTGTTATGTTAATTCTGGTAATTAATAGGCAATAAAGAAATGTATGCATAAGATCAAGAAAACATGTCTTTAATAACCTCTACAAATTTTTCCCGTCCTTGACAGATGAGCCAATTTTTTCCAGAATAATACATACATACATACTTTCACTGTTTCATCCCTAAAGAGGCTTTTCAGGAACAATCATTATTTACAAGCATTACTAAATCTGCTTGTGTTTCCCACAATATCCTCCAAAATCCTGTTTGGATTTTGGCTTGGGAAGCACACGTCTATGCAGTTTAATAAGCTCGAGGATGGCCCTGGGGTTGACAACAATGCCATACTCACTGACTGACAAGGTGCACAAATTCCCTGCTGTTTCGTAGGGATGTGGAGGGCAGCTGGAATTGACAAATAAAACTGGACAAGCACCACAAATAATAGATGATTCAATTTGATAATTTTATTTTTATTGTTGCAAATGCAATTTTTAAAATATGTATTCATGGTATTATACCATTTTTGTTGAAATTTTATATTTTGCCCATTGTATTAAAAGTATGTCATTTTACATGTACATTTAAGTTTTTAAGATCTTTTTCAAATACCTCTTAGCATCAGACACAAAGCGTAAAAAAGGTAAAATGAAATTATAGTTTTCACTTTCTTTGGCTTTCTGGTATCCAGTATTTTATTTGTAGTTACCATAAATAATTTCTTCTTTTTTCCGTTTTACATAAATAAGCATTCTGAACTGACAATGTGTCAGCATGAAATAGAGATATTGTTGCATCTCTCCTAGTTAATGTTACATCTCCCATAGCATTCAATATGTCATTTGAAGCNTTCTGTCTTTGGATTTATTGTTTGTAATGACTGTAATAGCACTATCCATATTATAATTATTATAAATAAAACTTCATGCACAATGTTTGGCACCACCTCAAGAATCTTAATTATATAATAATAAATCATAGTAGTATTACAGAATCATCACCACAAAATTATATTCAAATCCTTGATAAACAGAAATTTGATTAAATAACCAAAAAAAAATGTTGATTCACGCTGATAGCTTCTTTAATTTTGTTATGTTAATTCTGGTAATTAATAGGCAATAAAGAAATGTATGCATAAGATCAAGAAAACATGTCTTTAATAACCTCTACAAGTTTTTCCCGTCCTTGACAGATGAGCCAATTTTTTCCAGAATAATACATACATACATACTTTCACTGTTTCATCCCTAAAGAGGCTTTTCAGGAACAATCATTATTTACAAGCATTACTAAATCTGCTTGTGTTTCCCACAATATCCTCCAAAATCCTGTTTGGATTTTGGCTTGGGAAGCACACGTCTATGCAGTTTAATAAGCTCGAGGATGGCCCTGGGGTTGACAACAATGCCATACTCACTGACTGACAAGGTGCACAAATTCCCTGCTGTTTCGTAGGGATGTGGAGGGCAGCTGGAATTGACAAATAAAACTGGACAAGCACCACAAATAATAGATGATTCAATTTGATAATTTTATTTTTATTGTTGCAAATGCAATTTTTAAAATATGTATTCATGGTATTATACCATTTTTGTTGAAATTTTATATTTTGCCCATTGTATTAAAAGTATGTCATTTTACATGTACATTTAAGTTTTTAAGATCTTTTTCAAATACCTCTTAGCATCAGACACAAAGCGTAAAAAAGGTAAAATGAAATTATAGTTTTCACTTTCTTTGGCTTTCTGGTATCCAGTATTTTATTTGTAGTTACCATAAATAATTTCTTCTTTTTTCCGTTTTACATAAATAAGCATTCTGAACTGACAATGTGTCAGCATGAAATAGAGATATTGTTGCATCTCTCCTAGTTAATGTTACATCTCCCATAGCATTCAATATGTCATTTGAAGCCCTGAAAACTAACAACACAAAATGCACTGTGAAAACATCGGTTTATAAAGTTAAATGTTTGTGATCTTTAGGACAATTCCGTTAATTTCTCCATCTGAATAGCTGAAATACTGTCTTTAACTTGAGATTTTAAAATTATTTTAAGGGCATTAAAATAGTAGCCATTCTAAAGACTTGTTCTTTGGTTTATGAAATTGCCAAAAATGTACTTTTTAAATAAATGGGAAACAATATCAGAATGGGCCTAAGACATGAAAATAAATTTCAATAATGATATTATTGTTATTGAAATTTAGTATGATGGAAGTTGAATCAGTTGCTTTGGTCAGCAATAACTCAGAAATACACAAAATTATCTCAGTGTATTGACCTCAAACTTGAACAAACAAGTTGTATAAATAATATTCTTATACACTTACTTTTTTACACTCTCTAGATTATCAAGAATTATAAACACATCTGTTAAATAAATATTTTACTGAGAAAAAATAAATGCATACTCTTCATTATTGTTGGCTTTTGCAATGTCAGTGTCAACTAGATCTACATGTACAGGTTTACAACACAGGGTGTGGTCTCCGGTGCCATCCCCCTTTTCAAAGAGGTCCTCTGTGATGTGAGCGCTTGTTAAGTCATCGTCATTCTTCAAACACATGAAGCTTCCTGCCACACACTCTTGGAGACACTCTTGCAATTGAAAACGCACAAGGTCATTGCTTAACAAAACCCTGGCATCATCGGTGCTATCTTGATTCACTGCAATTTCTTGTGCATCATTCTCAGTACTACAACCATTTTCATACTTGTAAGTACTTTGAGGTGTAGGAATTGCTTGAATGCATTCATATGTTGACTTAACTGATTTTGAACCTTCTCCTGAAAAAAAAAATGATTGAAGTTTGCCACAAAAAACTGAGGTTGATTTGACCCAAGCCCCTGATTCAGGATTGACAAACTGATCTGAAGTAACCTGAGATCAGGCCCAATTTGAGCGGTTCGCATACATTCTCTCTAACGGCTACCGCTGAAATTGGGCCTGATACAAACTATTACAAGTTTGTGCTCGTCATGGCCAGATTTTGGCCGTAACGCTGATTGGCTGTTAGAACAATGCCACAAGATCTGATTGGTTGTTGGAAACGCCGGAAGTTGGAAGTGCTTATTCCTCGCGTGGTTGTTTTCGTGAATGATCCGTCGTCGGTGGAGAGAAGGATCGATTTTGCTGTCTTTTTTATTATTTTATGGTCTTATGGTAGTAAAATATGCCTTAATATGTGCCATGGAAATTCAGAAAATTCATGTGGTTGTTCATATCTTCTCAGGATTTGCTTTAATTACGGAAAGTGAGTGTATCGCGGAGTTGAATCCCTCTGCGAGTTGTTGACCGCTAACAAGGTGCATTTTGATTTACCAACAAGCGGGTGCAAATCAAAATACTGTCCATCTTAAAACTGCTTTCATTTGAAAGTTTAGCCGGGAATGACTTCTCTCAACGGGGTACGCAAGTGGAGGCTCACTGCGAAAGAAACCTCAATCGCCAACTGTGAAGTATTAGACAAAAAATATCGCATCGCTGTTCAAGGAATTTTCAGTGTTCCCAGACTGGTTGTTTGACTACGCTTTTTGTTAAAAACAAATCAAGAAAACTGGTGTCCTCGCTCGTTGGCTGTTTGCTTTTGTTTTTAAAGATTTATGTACTGAAAATCAGGGGAAATTGCCGAGGAAAATATCAAGACAACGGAAAAATAGAGATTTCATTATTTTAAATTCCAGAGCACCTAGCCAAAATAATAAAACTAGTAGAACATCGTGTCGCCGTCTTTTCGAAAACTTTTTACCTTCTACTCCAACAGAAGTAACCTTTGAGATCTCCCTTAATCTCGCAAGAAGTTAAATGTGATTGTGCTGACTATTTTATTTTTAGCTGAAAAAATTAACAGATAAAAGCTATTTTTTAAGTCAGCCAGTCTGCATCTTCCCCACGCGTGAAAAAATTTGCATACTAGAAAAACAAGCAACGGAAGTAATTCTGATTGGCTGATTCGGAAAATGTCAATCAATCAAAAAAGTGGGCGGCAGACATTTCGTTAAAGGTTTGTATCAGGCTCTCTTTTCGTTTCGCCTTGCCCGCCGGAATGTAATTTTCAAAGCGAAACGAAAATAGAGCCTGATCTCAGGTTAGATCTGAAGTGTCAGGAAAATCCCAGATGACCTGGGTTTTTTTCTGTTTCCTGACAATTGCACATTTTTCCAACCAATGAAAACTTAAAATCACAGATATCTCCTGTCACCTGACATGGTCAGGGACAAATCAGGAGAGAGGAGTGTTTCTGTTTTCCCAACACATCCCAGATGGTTGGTATTACTGTCAGGGAGGTCCAGGATTGACGGGCAAATTAACCACTACAGATAATGCCATAACATACCAAAATAATATAATGCTCTTTGTTTGTCACCCCAAAATTTTGCATAAGCATTGTCTTCAGTTTCTCCTGGGAGTTAAAATGGCCCCAAGAGAAACTAGAAAAAAAAACTTCAACAATCAAAATGGACAATCGGGAAACAGTGAGATTCCCATTTGTCCGGGATTTTCCCAACATACAAATACCAGCATAAAAGCGCATTTGGTTTCAAGACCATTTTCATTTCATTTACCTTTTAGTGAAGTCTCAGTGATGGCAAATCTGGATGTTCTCCTAATAAAAGTGTACAAAAAATTACAACTAATTAGCCTTTGACTCTAACTACTTTGAAGGAGGGACTAATCAAAATACAGTATGTTTGAACAAAATTTTACACTCATATTTTAATGAAAATAAAAAGGTTACTGATAGAACCTGGCATCCAAGTGCAATAATATTACTCTCTGGCCGTTGACCGCACTAGATTGTTATACAATGTACATACCAATGTTCTACTTCATGCCTGTCTCTGTATGTATGCATCATCATGTTGAGTACTGACAGCACTTTGTCAAGATGGGCATTTCTTGTCTTTCCTTCCATTTTGGCTAGCAATTCTAAAAATCTAAGGGACATTTATTAATTAAATAATTTATTTATTTATTTTGCCACTATCACAGGGAACATTACCTGCCTCAGGAAACTTTAATATTCGAGGGAACAGAAAAATTGATTTCTTTGGGGGTCTTTCAAGCAATAAATTTCATTACTAATTCAATTTGTATCCAGAAACTCATTAAACATGAATTTATTAAGCGAACAGTGTAGATACTTTTATACATTAGCGATAAGCATCTGAAAATCTGATACAAAACTCTTATCATATTTTGTATTAGTTATTTTTGAAATTAAGAATACCATAATTTAATTGTATTATAATCTCTGTATGGATTCTCTAAGAATTTTTAATTGCTATTACAAAAAAAATTGTAGATTGAGGTATGTTACTCTGATTTCCTTGTGTAGAGAATCTGGAAGAAAGGTGGATAGCAATAAAAATGAAACAAATTACTATTTCAATATACTGTATAAAAAATATATTTAAACAAAAACATCATGTTTAGTAAATGCCATAAAATAATGCACAACAGCTGGATAATTTTTCCAAACTCTTTATGCATCAGAGTACAATTTTTTACACACTCCTCTGTGAGTCACACACAACTAGCAATAATTATTGTTGTACTGTCAGAAGGGAAATAATAAACACTTAATGACTGGTCCTGAGGGAAACAATTAATTTTGTTTCCTGAAAATCTCAGTGTTTCGCGAGGCAGAGCCGAACTGTTAACTGTAACCCTCTTAATGTTGTAGATTTTGCAATGTTGCCCACTCAGAGATATTAGCAGGAAACAGTTTCATTGTTAAATGTCATGTGACCTTGAAGTAACAAAAGAGAGTGCACGCTGTTGGGAAAAAATTTCCAGCTATATAACTGTAGGCCACTTCTGAGTTTGAAAAACCCTCACGTTAAAAATGAGGTCAAGTGCACAACCTTTCTTGTGAAAATGAGTTTTATTTGCTTGAGAATGAAAAATCATTTCCATATCAGAGGATGAGCACTTAACCTCGTTTTGATACAGAGGTCCGGGGGAACTTTGAAGTGGTCTATTATACTTACATCTTTAACATGGTTAAGAATTGCTGGACGGTGATGACACAAGGTTTTGAAAGGACCTTAACAAGGTGAATTGATCTACGAATCACAATGCATGACCAAAGTTCCCTTTCTTTTAAGGCGTTGTTCCTCGCATCACAGAGTACTGTAGGGGATTGAGACAGTGAAACAATACAATAATAATAATTTAATATTAATATTTCTAACATATTGCCCGTAATTAGGAGTGCATGCATGCTGTTGGTTCCAGTCCATCTGGGAGTACAATTTTTTCTTTATGTCCCGCACTCACTTTCAGAATATGTGTCTTTCTCAGTAGCTACCCTATTTTGCTTTAACACTTGTTATAGATTTATTTTTAATGGCCAAGACCTGAACCAAAAACTTATAACCCTAAACATAATCATGTAATAGACCTTTTTAGCTTGTATGTTTTGTTTTTCCAATATTCAGACCACGTGATGTTATCCAGGAAATTTGCCTTTTGTCTTTTCATAAATTAAGCATACAAGTGCAGCCACGTGAATAAGATGATATTTGAAAGAAACAGTTCTCTGGGGTACCATCACGTGGTCTGAAGTAGCAAAACAAAACATACAAGCTAAAAAGGTCTGTTACTTAATGAATCAAAATTGGATGTCCACATAACAGGAGCCTTTTATAATTACCATACCTCAGTCCCATTACTAATTTGTATAAAAATTAATTATGTGGTTGGCCATAAATTTAAGCTTCCAATAGCAGCAGCCTGACAGATAAAGAAGACTGAGCTTGTGATGTCAGCTCATGACATTCTTTGTTATTTAGCAGTGCATCAATTAGACATGGCTTTAAAAGTTTATGCAGTTCCAAATGTTTTTGATCATAATTGTATTAAATATACCTCTGGATAGTTTTGATTCTCCCTCTTCTACTTCTTCTGTGGGAGAAGAGACTTGTTCGCTAACTCCATTTCCACAGAATGAACAGACCAGTCCTTCTTGTGAACCCATTGGGCCACTAGAGCCATGCCCACAGCATGTGCAATGGCCAGAGGATGAGCTGAGTTTGTTTGGTGGGAGACTTAAGGATGTGGAGGGAGACCTTAGTGTCATCTTTGTTAATGTATCAGGATCTGAAAATGATAGCAGTTTATTCTTAACTACCATAATACAACTCTTTGCCCAACTGCTGGGTAAGCGCTCTTGACTCAGGGAGGCCAGGGGAAGGGGGCAGTCAAGAGAGTTTGTTCAGAGGCTACATCCCATCAATTTTGCCATCCTTTTCACTGAGTTTTTCTCCCGCTTCTGCTTCCAACTTTGAAAATCTGGTTTTCACCAGATCATAAGTGACAGAGTCATATAAGTGTAGTCGGAAGAAAATGGAAATGTTCTGTTTCTTCTGACTTTGATTCTGTCACCTGTAGACTTTGCTT